AAAGAAAGAAAAAAAAAAAAAAAACAAAGAATAATAATAAAACAAAATTGAAAAAGAAATCATCGTTTTCAATTTTTTATGCGCCTCCTCCTGTTGTCGTGCCGTTTGCTCATTTGGGGGGTGATCTGGGGCAGACCTTATCCTTCCGCCTGGTTCCGGTCCCATCCTGTGCAAAGCTTTTCTTCAGTAAGCGGCTTAGTTGGGCTTTGCCAAGGACTTGGTGGTGCAGATAGGTTTGCCGGTTTGGGGGCTTTGTCTACTCCCTGTATTCGGTCGGTATCTTTGGGGTGGGGATCGACAGTGTCCTCCGGTGATGGATTGGTTTGTCTTCGGTTGAATATTTTTGCGACTGCCGAGTGCTGGGTGCTGGTCTTCGTGTGCTGATTTCCAGTGATGGTCCGTTGGAAGGTCTTGACTGGTCAATTCAGAACGAGCTAATATATATTAGCTTAAAGAGTTATGGAGTTTGAGTTTTTTTATCTGTGTCAGGACCATGTTCTTATTTTTCTTGAATTGTCTTCGGTTGTCGTTCTCGCTGGTGAGGGTGAGAGGTGTTGGACGACAGTGAGGAGGACTTTATTATATCGATTAGGTGTGTTAGTTGTTTTGTAAGTTTTTTCTTCTAGTTTTTTAAGTCCAGTTGCGTCTGACTTTAGTCTCCTTTGTTTTGTCTCCTTTTTGAAGTTCTTTTGTTTTTTCGGGTGATAGTATTCTCTTGGTTGACGGTATAATTCCAAGAGGGTGGATCTAGTCTTTGTTCTTTTTAGTGGTGTCCGTTGACACTTCGGGTGTAATCAATTTTGAGTTTCTCAGTTTTATATTAACTGTGATTTGGCTAAAAAAAAATCTATACTTATATAATAAGAATTAACATTCATCCAAAATAGTAGGTCAAATTATGGTCAATGTCGGATTTGTATTAAATATTTTCTAAAATCGGTATGTTTTTGTCCTTTTCACACTTCTCATTAATTATGTCATTTTCACACTTCTCATTAATTATGTCTTTTTCACACATCTAATTAATTCATTAATTACGACATAATTATCATAAATCATTCAATCTGAACTTTTATCGTTAAAATATATAGCGATCTGTTATGACCTTATCCATTGATATTTCCATGAAGCGTCCTTATCGCGTTCTATTTTTTGGTAACCACTCTATATCAATAACCGGATATTTGGTTAATGATAGCACACGTCTTTATTTCAAGGAGCGGATATTCTTTGACCTTTAATTAATCTGAACTGATTGCCTTGACTTTTCAATTTTTAAAAACTCTTTTTTTAAATATTTCGGCTTAAGATTCGGATTTCATTATACAAGTCATCGGATTGTTTGAATGAAAATGAATGAAAAGAACACCAAAAACAGGTAGCCTTATTCATATAACCAATCCTAAAATATTAGTTTGTTCACCAAAAAGAGACAAATCCTAGAAATCCTAAAATATTAGTTTGTTCACCAAAAATATTAGTTTGATTTTTAGGATTTGTCTCTTTTGAAAATATTAGTTTGTGATAATGAGGAGTTACCAAATAATCAAACTCACAATGTTGTGTACAAGGAAGTTTTTAATAATATATGATTGTTACCGAACTTTTTATGATTCAACAATGTTCCTATGTATTTTAATGATTTCAATTTCGATCCTAATGCCCGTGAGGTTATATTATTCTTTCAAATTTTATATCCCGTGCATCGCATGGGTTACGTACTAGTACTAGTTGGATGGAATTAAAAGTATCTTATTAAATAACACAGTTTTATACTTTAGTCGGATGAAATAATACTTTGGTAACATTTGCTATATGGGATTAGATTGTACTAAATTAGTACAGAGTGAATGGAATATAATGTGCGGATATATTGAAACACTTATTTGTTATACATTACGATTGGTTGATTTATCGGTCTATTCAACCTGATATGGTATCCCGCATCATCTGCAATCTTGACATCAGACTTGTCTTGATCCGAACTCCCATGGTCAGGCATGGTGGACTGCAGACCAAGCCGAAAGAGAAGCAGGTGCGAGTAAAAGAAAAGAAAAATAATAAATCCCGCTTGATACCATGAGAAAAAGACTGCAAGGTTGAAAGGCGACAGTATGAATCAAACCCGTAATACCGCCGTCTCTTTCATTAGATTTTGTACAATGATATATATAGATATATAGAGTACAACTTCGTAAATCTACCATAAATACAAATATATATTTACAAAACATATATATATATATATATATATATATATATATATATTCACACACCGAAACATTATTAATGAAAATTAAGTTATAGTTGACAAATCAAAGGCTGCATTTCACTTTTAAATCCACTACAAAGTACACGTATTCTTGACCACACCTAGCATCAACCTTAAGGGGGAGACAAGCTTAAGCTACTTTGACATGATTGGATGATAAAGATGATGGTAAAGTAATAAGTTTGTGATACATATTATATTATTATATCAATTTTTATGTCATCTCTTATATTACTGTAGCATAACTCGGTGGAGACAATTAATTAGTCGATTTCTCACTTTTTTTTATTTCATTGACGTGTTGCATGGTTGGATCTCTTCCAAAATTACATGTCTACATAATTTATTACAATAAATCATATTCAAGTACTATAAAATATGTTCATGGTAAAAAAGCCAACCTGAAAAGCAAACCAGAACCAAACCGTGCATATGACGGTCTGAGGTCGGTTTAGAAACTGGCGGTTAAAAGTTCCATTTCGGTTCCAAAATGCCGGTTGGCCACTTTACTTTGTTCTGTTAATAATAATAATAATAATAATAATAATAATAATAATAAAGCAGCACAGAATTTGGTTTTCTCAAATACCATAGCTCAATCGTCATTATGTAGTCAATGGTTTTGATTTGAACTAAAACCATGGTTAACGGGACCGTTGCCCACGGTTTGAACCATTTGTTTAGGGCAAGTTGTCAATAAACCAAGACAAGGATCGGGCATGATACATTGCACCAAAGTCAAGTTTTTTAAAATCAATTTTGTAGGGTTAGTTGTTACATGTTGCCTTTACTTTAATGATTTAATCAGCCTAATTCAATCAAATCCAGAAAAAAAATAAAAAAAAAAATCCAGAAGATTAATTAGTTATCACCATATAAATATAGTGACCATTGCAAAATCATTTTTTTTTTTTTTAAAAAAAAGAAAATCACTAAAGTTCAATATGATCTTCACTACATTCAAATAAATAAATAAAAATTAACAAACTATACTAAATACCAGTCAATTAATTTAACATTTTGCCATTAGATTCAGTTTCTTGTAATATGAGAACTAATATTTCCATAATTATTTTCTTAATCCACACAATACTTCCATATATATTTTCTTAAGTAGATTAACACATGTCATCATTATCTCTCCCCCTCTCTTCTTCTTGAAAACTCCTGCATGCATGTATGTCCCAATCGGCCACCAAGCAGCCGTAGACGAACCTTCCTAAACCTACACATCACATAATAATTAAATCATAAACCCCATTAATTCTAATTACTACAATTGATGTGTTCAACATTGATGTGTGTATATATATAGCTGCACAAAACATGGTAATGAACCATTACCCGCACAAGCCAATGTACTAATCCCTAAACTATATATAATATTCTTTCCATATTCGTTTTCCCTCAGCAAATTCCAATATATATGTCGACTGTAGAAAAAAAGACGAGCATTAAAGCAGTTGTGACCGTGCTGCAGACTGTTGGGGGGATACTCTCCCACCTAAGCCTCAGTCGAGGCCTCGATGACATCACCGACTTGCTCGGTAAAACCCTTCTGGTCGAGCTTGTGGCAGCGGAGCTCGATTCTCGTAAGTCTATGCTTGTGTATTATTTATATTCACCCATAATTATTGTTTTAAACTATTAATCCCCCTCCCTTTTTATTATATATTAATTCACAACATGCTGATCCTAAGTGGCAAGCTCGCATGCTTCGGGATTTTATGTGGCAAAATTATATGTTTTATTACTAAGCTTTGGTAGATTTTAATTTATTTTCAATCCAAAAATATTTAGGTCCAGATTATCCATAAATGTGTTGATTATTTATGGTCATATTACATGTATTAATTGTATTTTAATATCATTTTTTATTATAACCATTTACTTTAATTTGTAAATGTATTTTAAAAGTTAATAACTTCTGTATTTTTTATCAGTTTTATTTACATATATAATATATCAAATTTAATCATCTTTTGATGAGTTTCGATTTAACATCCATATTGTATGTATAAAAAAATAAATTATATTCATCTTTATAACAATAATAAAATTATTTTTTAATATTAATTAGAAAAATTAAATTATTTATCAATTAATATGTTTATATTTCAAATAGTTATATGATATAAGTTATAACAATTATTATAATATAACACGTGTAAGTCGCACAAGTAACAAATGTAATTCTAAAATATATAATAATATATATTTTTTGTAAAAAAGTAAATAAAATTTAAAATAATTTTTCTCGTTAATTTTAAAATTTAAGAATATTTTTTTAACAAGAACCCGCATAATACACGGGTATTGTACTAGTGTAGATATATAATGCAATGAATTAACAAACTAATTATATAAGCTATGAGAAAAAATTTCAAATGAGAATGAAATAATATAGTTTGGAAATTAAACGGTCTTTCTTTTGGCAGTGTCTGGACAGGAGAAGCCAACCATTAGTTCGTATGGACAAAAGAGTGGCGAAGATGATAAGGAGACTTACTATGAATCCACGTTCGAAATTCCTGAGGATTTTGGAGAAATCGGTGCTGTAATTATAGAAACCGAGCAGCGGAATGAAATGTTCGTAAAAGACATCAAATTAGAAGGTTTATCGGGTGGTTCCATTGAAGTAATCTGCAATTCATGGGTTCAGCCAAAAAATGAAAACTCAGAAAAGAGAGTGTTTTTCACCAACAAGGTATCGTCCAGCCAAAATTTATTTAATTGAAACATAAAATGAAACAAAAATAAATAAATCAATCAAAAATATTACTATTCCTGTCATGTCATGTCATTTTCTTCTCTACAATTTCACTACATAATTGAACAATACAAAATATTTATTATTTTATGTTTTTCAACCAAAAATACTATTAATTAATCTACATATTTTAAACTATCAATCTTATTAACTGATATATTGTTATTTTTATACCAAACAAACTTTAGTTTTTCCATTTTCTTTTTATATTCATTCACAATCTTAAATTTATTTTATTTTATTTTATTTTTTTTTATTTCAAAAATTTATTTGTTCAACGTTTTACCTCACTTTTCAACGATTTTGTGTTTTTTGTAAAAAAAAAAAGCTACTAATTGTTT